TATGAGCCCCACTCCTGGCTATCTTGCCCAGGGAAGATCAGCCCCTTGGGTACGTGGGATCCGAGAAATGCTCTTGTGACCCAGGTGTCAGGTAAACAAAATGTATTGATTCACATAAAGCTTCAAACAGCAACTTAAAAGCACAAAGTTCACCGCAAGCTCACCTCACCATATGGAGTCTGATGCCGTGAAGAGAGATAACCGCAATCTTCCTCCCTCTGGAGATGGTGTTTCTCGCCGGTGACGCGTTTCGCCCCGCCTCTTGGGGCTTTCTTAAACAAGCATAATCTCCTCCCACTGGAGATCGTCCTATATGTAGTATATCTCTTTATAGCACCTCGGCTAGATTCGAAACACCTTCACGCAGAGGAGATGTTGCTAGTCTAGCATCTATCAGATCCTGGACGATTACCACCGAGCTAAGGAGGCGACAAATCCCCTGCCCAGCCACAGCAAGGAAAGCGGAACTATTCAAACTTCTCCACAGATCAACTGACAACATGGAGGCAGGGGAAGGCCCCAGCAACACCAATTCGGTGACATCCAGGCTATGCTAACCTCACTCATGAACTCCATGAGCAAAGTTCACAGCAGACTGGCAAATCTCGAGTCGGTCACTACAGCCCTCACAAAGGCTGGGCCTCCCGCTACTGTACAACCAGCACCAACTGAAACTCGGTTAACTGGTACAATCAATTTGTCTGACACTCAGGACGTTAACCCTGCACATATGATCCAAGCGCACATTAAAAGAGATATCCTGGAAGGTAAAGATGGCAACTTAGCATCTCTAATAATTGCCTCCCAGGATATTGTGGAAAACAAAACGTACATGTATGACGATGTATCTGTGGTGGTCAGATCCAGGGATTCCAGGTTAAACCGGAAACTGACCATCCCTGAGTTTGTTTTGGCATTTGGCATATATAGAGATATTATTTGTGCAGTGTACACTAACAGAAGGGAAGAATTCGATCTATATATGCACAAGCTGGTAAACCTAGGAAACAAATATGGTGGTTCAGCATTTTACGATTACCATAGGTCATTTTCTTACCATAGGCCTGCTCTTCCACTACCCACATGACAACTTTTTGGCCAAGCACGGCAGGCGACCACTCGCAGTCCCCAAGCACTAGCAACTCTGGTAGAACAGAGAGAACTACCAGAGACAAACTGGGTCGTCCTATCATATTTTTTGGCAAATAACAGATTTGCAACAATTTTAACGTGGGAACATGTAGCTTTAGTGCTTGCAGATTGTTGCATATATGTTTTAAATGTTTCAGGGCACATGCAAAAACTATGTGCCCCAATAAAATGTACCCAAAACCGCACTTAACGTCTGTCAACATTCATGCTTTTTCAGCACTACTGACTAATCACCCTTCCAGACATTAAGTAGAATTTCTCATATCTGGATTTTCAGAGGGGTTCATACATATGCCCTCAGGGCATCTAGAATGCCCTAACTTACAATCAGCACAACAGAACCCAACGGCTGTAGACTCACTCATAGCCCAAGAACAGGCAGAGAAGTTTCTGTTTGGGCCTTTCAAAACCTCACCATTTACTGCATGGCGCACAAACCCCATTGGGATTGTCACAGGGAAATCTTCCCTCAAACAGAGACTTATCATAGATTTATTGGCACTTCACACCTCTGCTACCCAAAGACTCAACTCCCTCATTCCCTCCTAGGAGTTTTCCCTACAATATGCCACTATAGATCATGCCATTACAGCTATCACCCAAGCAGGTGTCAGAGCCTGGTTAAGCAAGACAGACATCACCAATGCTTTCACACTGCTACCAATCCACCCTACACTCTGGCATTTACATGGCATCAAATGGGCAGACAACTACTATTTCTTCTCTTGCTTAACCTTTGGGTCAAAAAGTAGCCCCAAAATCTTTGACACATTTGCCGAAACACTTTGGGGCTGTTACTAAACATATCCAGATGCCCCACAGTCATACATTATCTAGATGACTTTTTGTTGGTCAAAGAAAACACCTTTACCCCCAGAAGCCTAAAGGAAGCGATTAGTCTGTTTGACCACTTAGGCGTCCCAGTATCCCTAAAGAAAACTGAAGGCCCAGACACTATCATTACATTCCTGGGCATACAACTTGACTCAGCATCCATGCAAGCAAGCTTACCACAAGAGAAAATAACAAACATTCTCAACAGCATCAATCACTACATCATGCTGGGTACTTGCAACCGCAAGGAACTACAATCTCTTCTAGGTTCCTTAAACTTTGCCATGCGCATCATACCACAAGGTCGGGCTTTCATATCCAGACTTCTTTGTCTTTTTCCACACTTTCAAAATGACAACCATAGACTGTCCCTAGATATTCAAGCCACAGCAGACCTGCACATGTGGAAGAAATTCTTAACCATGTGGTAAAAGCTTGTTCCTCCCAGGATTGTCTGACATGTCACCAACCATATGATCAGACGGGGCGTCTACCACGGCAATCTTTGGGAACGAATGGCTTTGGGGTAGTTGGCCTGAAGAAGTTCAAGTTTTAGAAGTTTTTTTCACTACCTCAGCTCTTTTTGAGATCTACCCTATTGTAGCAGCTGCTGTGGCATGGGGTCATTCATGGTCAGAGTCATCAGTCCGTTGCTACTCAGACAACCAGGCCACATGTCATATCATCAATAAGGGCTGCTCATCATCTCTAACGATCATGAGATTTCTCAGGAAACTCACTTGGTTGGCTGCATGTCACAATTTCTTCTTGGTTTGCGTTCATGTACCAGGCATTTGTAACATAGCCACTGACAGTTTGTCTTAATTAAATTTTCAGGCATTTCATCAAGCACTTCCTTCAGCCGCTGAAGCAGCCACAGCCACTACTTCGTTCCAGCAACTAATCATGGATTAGACATAATTATGCAACACAGCAGGGATCTGTCCAAATAAGCACTGTCATCCAATACTCGCAGGACATACAACAGAGCCTTCACATTGTTTAAAAGATTTCTATTGGAACATGACATATCCCAACCTTTTGTCATGACATCTATCCTGGGTTTCGCTCCTTTTTGCTATTTTAAACTACAACTATCTTACAACAGGGGGGCGGAGCCTAACCGCGAGACAGGAGAGACGCCATTTCTGGTAGCTCCCGACAAAGCAGCGAAATCCAGCACAATCCCTCTGCTTACCAGACCCATCCCGCTCCAATACCTGCAAGAACGGACTGGGGATCATCCGCAGCACCCATTGATGCCGTTCCTATACTCCCCACAACAGGGGAAGCCAAAACGCAAGCCTGGGGCCTACTACCCACAGGCGCCCGCATACCTCGAGGGGCTCCTCAGCAATCGGAGCCTGTACAGTGCCGCTGAGACGCCTGACTGCCGCATCCCTGCACACACACACCAACCTCCAGCAATGGGACGCAGATCCCAGAAGCCACAGCCTGGCAACAACATGGAGCAGCGGGACATCGGCACTTTCATGAGGCAAGTACCGACCAAAATGGCGACCACAGACGGCCCTGAAGGCCCACACCTCCCAACAACCCCAGATGTGCCAAATCTGACCCCCAGCCCAACGCCAGGAACACTAGGGGAAGCACAGACTATCTCCACAGACATCCCTGGGGGGACAGCCCCTGCCACTAAGCAGGACCTCCATAACATGCAGAATACACTGCTAGAAATACAGAGGCTCCTCACTGCAGACATGGCTACCCTAAAATCAAGCATAAGACAGATCAGTGAGAGGACGACTGCTGCTGAAGGGGACATGGGAAAAATACGCGGTGAACTAACAGAAATGCAAAGCACAATGCAACAATTCCAAACTGCACAGCACAACATGGCACTACAACTAATCGCGCAGGAAGACAGACGCCGCCGCAACAATGTTAAAGTCAGAGGGGTACCCCCCACGATAACAACGGAGGAATTACCCCACTACATGAGGAGGCTTATTGCCACGCTATTACCTGCGGCCCTAGCCAAAAAGTTCACCATGGCTGGACTGTACCGCCTACCTACCATCACCAAGACCGCGACCCCAATCACGGGCGATGTAATTATTCAGTGCTTGTCACCCCAAGACAAAAGCTACATCATGACAGCAGTGAAGGGCAAGACCCCAATGTTATTCGAAAACTCGCATCTAACATTCTACCAGGATCTCACCAAGGCCATGCTACAATGGCGTAAATCATTGGCAGCCCTCACTAGCCACCTACGCTCAGCGGGAGTAGCATACAGATGGGGGACACCGAGATCCCTTCTTGTATCCCATAATGGAACTGTTCACAAGCTCTCAGCGGAATCGGAAGCAGGAGCGCTACTACTACTCTGGCTACCCAACGAATACCTCACACCCAACCCTCATGAGCCACGCAGCTACAAACCAACACTCTACAACCACCCTCATGTCACTCACTCGTTATTAACAAACACCCAGTATGTTAAAACCCTGCATCCACTCACTCTAACTAGCCCACACATACTGCCTCAAATCGACCTGGTAGAGGATTACCATCACACAATCTAAATACGCTATTATGCACCGACTCCCCAACCGGGGCTACAACCCTACTACATTTATAAAAAAAATGTGTGTAATGTCCGTAATGTTGTACCAGTTTCTTGCAAACCTCATGCACTGTATGATAAATGTTATAAAGTACTATCACGAATGTGCCCGTCCTTGTTGTTGTGACAAGGCGAGCTTCTGTATAATTCGATGCGCACCAAAAATAAAGAATTATAATAAAAAAAAAAAACTATCTTACAATACCATTAAATTATATTTGACAGGCATTCAACACCACATGCTAACACTCTGGCCTAACAAACATAGCTTCATGTCATAATATCAGATAAAGAACATACTCAGAGGCATTCAGAAATTGGACATACAACAGAGCCTTCACATTGTTTAAAAGATTTCTATTGGAACATGACATATCCCAACTAGTGATGTCCCAAACTGTTTGCCGAACGGTTCGCCACAAACGGTTCGCCACAGACTCATCATTGAGTAAACGTTTGTTAGGCAAGAGTAACACTCTTGCCTAACAAACATAGCTTCATGTCATAATATCAGATAAAGAACATACTCAGAGGCATTCAGAAATTGGTTCCCCCACGTACCTCGCAGAGATTACCTATAGATAACAAACTTTTCCAATCCCTATCCTACCAATTAGATTTAAAACCATTTAATTCTACCACCAATTCGGTCATTAAAGCAGCCACGTACATAGACTTCTACGGTTTCCTCAGGCCAAGAGAATTCACTACCATCACCACCACTCAGACAGATAGATGTCTCCTACGATCTCACCTACGCAAACACATGGACCGTTACATACTGCCTCTACCACAGTCCAAAACAAGTCAACATGCACCTCCAGTAGAAATCACTTATTATCCTACCCATAACAAATGATGTCCAGTTGCGGCCCTAAATTCCTACCATCAAAATCCTACCTCACTACCATCACAACATTTATTTGCACTACAAGGCTCTGTACTTACTACCGCTACTTTCATGAGATACATCAGATCCCTGTTAACCATGCTAGGTCTCTACCCTTCTACCTACTCAGGTCACTCCTTCCGTATAGGGGTGGCCTCCACAGCCTCCATCGCCAACATACCAGTACATATCATAAAATCACTGGGGCGATGGAAATCTTCCGCTTACACAAGTTACATACCCAAACCAACACAGGAATTAAGAAATGCATTTAAGGAAATGTCTGGTTAATTTGTATATATTTGTTGACTCTATTAAATCTTTGATTATTCACTTTTGTCCTCTTTATTTACAGGCCTACCGTATCCTCAGTCTCGGCACACCACAACTGACTTGCTCTTTTATACTATCCTACGCTTATACTGGAACTTTACTCCATATATATATTTGACTATTAACTACATAATTATTTCATTTTATTCATTATAATTTGAAGGGACCTGCCTGACAACCCAGGCAGACAGGCCAGAGAATTTAATTGGCAAGCCCTATATTTAACCCCGTAATTTTCCAAAACAACATAAAACCTTTACATGGAGGGTATTGTTATACTCGGGAGACTTTGCTGAACACATATATGAGTGTTTTAAAAAGTAAAACTTATCGCAACGATATCACCAGTAAAAGTGCAGTTTTTGTTTTAAAAAATGCAAAAAAACTAATAAAAACGCTAACTTTGGGCTACTATATGGTCTCAAAAGGCAACATAGACCCAGCAAACCATTCTGGCAAACTGAATTGGGAAAGCCCTATATTGACCCTGTAACTTTCCAAAACACCATAAAAACCTGTACATGGGGTGTATTGTTACACTCGGGAGACTTCGTTGAACACAAATATGAGTGTTTCATACAGTAAAATGTATCACGACAATTAAATCACCATTAAAAGTGCATTTTTTTTCATACTGTTTCACGTTTTACAGTTTTTGGTTCTCTTCTGTGGTTTATATCATGACATTGTAGAGCCGAAAAATTCTAAACTGCGGTTAATACCTTGCCAACTTATATAACGCACACCGACTATATATTGTAAATGTCAGCAAGCTATGAAAGCTAAATTTGGCAAGCGTTTGTCGCTAAGTGGCTACTGCAAAAGACTGGACATACCCCATTTTGAATACCCTGGGTTGTCAACTTTTTCAAATGGTATGTCATAATGGGGTTCATTTTCATTGAGGGGTACTGTTTTACTCGTGAGACATTACTCTACACAAATATGAGTGTTTTAGAGCAGTAAAATGTATTATACTGATAATATCATCGGCGAAATGGCAGTTTATGTGGGAAAAATGCAAAAAAATTAATATAAACGGTCTCAAAGGCAACATAGGCCCAGCAAACCAATCTGGCAAATTTCAATGTGTAAACATGGAAAAAGGGAAAGCCCTACATTTGATCCCTGTAACTTTGCAAAACACATAAAACATGTACATTGGTGGTACTGTGGTGGTACTGTTGTACTCAGGAGATGTTGCTGCACACATATTGGGGTGTTCTTTGTCAGGAACTGAGAATCCATGCCTAAAGTACAATGTGAGAGACAAATAACACAAAAAATGACTACCCAAAAGTTTGACTGGTGGTAGAATTAGTGCATGGAAAGTGTTAAAATGCCACCATCTGAAATACCCTAGGGTGTCTACTTTTCAAAAATATATGGTTTGATGGGCGTAAATTACATTGGCCTGCTTCAAAAATGTCCCAAATAGGACATGGGTGCATGATGACCAGATGTGAAAATTCCAAGTTGGAAAACTGGAATGCGCACCCTCCAAATAAGGTATTTTAGAAAACCCGACACACCTATACATGGGTGTTATTACTGTACTCAGGAGATGTTGCTGAACAATATTGGGGTGTTCTTTGGCAGTTACCCTTAAGGTTCTCAGTACATGTACATTAGGTTGTCTTCTTTTAAAAAAACATATACATGTGAAGGGTTATTCAGGGATTCCTGACAGATATCAGTGTTACAATGTAACTTTCAATAATTTAGGGGACAAAAATGCTTTGGAAATAGTGCTAATTGTACTTATTGCCCTATAACTTGCAAAAAAAAAAGGTAAGAACATGTTAACATTGGGTATTTCTAAACTCAGGACTAAATTTAGAAACTGTTTAGCATGAGTGTTTTTTATCGGTTGTAGATGTGTAACAGATTTTGGGGGTCAAATTTAAAAAAACTGTCACCATATTTTATTCTTTTTTTATAGTAAATTATATGATGTAATGAAAATAATGGTATATTTAGAAAGACCATTTAATGGCGAGAAAAACGGTATATAATATGTGTGGGTAGAGTAAATGAGTAAGAGGAAAATTACAGCTAAACACAAACACTGCAGAAATGTAAAAACAGCCCTGGTCCTTAACCCCTTAAGGACCAAACTTCTGGAATAAAAGGGAATTATGACATGTCAGACATGTCATGTGTCCTTAAGGGGTTAAAGGTAAGAACATTGAAAACTGGTCTCGTCACTATGGGATTAAATGGACTGCGTCTTCTAGGCTGTTTAGAGTCACATGGATGACGTGGACCAATGAAAACACATATGAATCTAAATCTAAAGCCTACTCAGGCCCTTACTCATTGCCCTATCATGGTTTCTGTCTAGTAATACGTTTAGTGCTCCTGCCACTCTCTTGTGATTTCCTGTTTCCCTTGGCTTCGTTTTGATCCTGTTTTCCTCTGGCATCCTGATCCAGCTTGTATATTCACCTGTGTATTTCTATTATCCTAACCTGGCTTGTTTTTCGATTATCCATATCTCTCTATTCCTGACCTCGGCTTTTCCTGACTTTGCTTCTTTCTTGTGAATCATTAAATCCAGCCACTGTAAGGCCCTGTAATACGACTTTTGGACTCTCACTTTGTTAAGGCAACCATGACAACATTAAGCTGTAGTTGTTCTTGTGACTATAGTGTCCCTTTAAAAATCATGTTCTCTCATTTCAAACACTGGACATTAAAAATAAATTATCATATGTAAAAAATATACACATATGAATTAATGATTTCTCTTCACAAACCCACCTTTAAAGATAGCTAAAAATAAGCTCAAAATACTCATGGTTAGTTTATTTTCTTTCAATTCTGTGTAGTTTTCCTGCAGTGCTGTAAAATGTTTTGCTGTTTTCAGCAGTGTAACCATGCCTCCTCACTACCCACTGTAAACCTCTTCCATGTCAGCCAACCTCCCTATCCACTGTTAACCCCTCCCCTGTCAGAAAACCTAACTACTCACTATTAACCCCTTCCCTGTCAGCCAACCTCCATTCCCACTGTTAACCCCTTCCATGTCAGCCAACCTCCATTCCCAGTGTTAACCCCTTCCCTGTCAGCCAACCTCCCTATCCACTGTTAACCCCTTCCCTGCCAGTCCCTGTCAGACAACCTTACAACCCACTGTTAACACCTCCTCTCCCAGTCCCTGTCAGCCAACTACCCGCTATTAACCTCTTCCCTGTCAGGCAACCTCACTACCCACTGTTAACCCCTTCCCTACCAGAACTTGTCAAATAGCCTCACTATCTGCTACCAACCCATTCTTCCCTGTCAGCCAACCTCCATACTCATTGTTAACCCCTCACCTGCCAGCCCCTGTCAGACAACCTCAATACCCACTGTTAACCCCTTTACTGCCAGATAACCCAACTACCCACTGTTAACCCCTTCCATGTCAGCCAACCTCATTACCCATTGTTAACCCCTTCCTTGCCAGTCCCTGTCAGCCAACCTCACTACCCACTGTTAACCCCTTCTCTGTCAGAACCTGTCAAACAGCCTCACTACCCACTGTTAACCACCCTCAAGTCCATGTTAATCAACCTCCCTATATAGCTATATATATGAGAAAGAGAGAGATAGTCATAGATAGATATATAGAGAGAGCTAACACAAAGCTCTATAGGTATTTATACGTTGTTCTGTCTCATTATATTTATTGATAATAAACAATAATATATTTATTGCTAATAAATGACACTATATGATACCTAATGTGGTGAGGACATTTTTTTGTGTTTGTGTAATGTGGTATGTAAGTTCTAGTGTCTGAATGCTGTTTTTATAGTGTAACTTGAGTACTTCTTGGACAGGCATTGTGGGTGTGCCATTACTGATTCAGAAGAGAAGCAGAAAATTTGATCAAAGTAAAGATTAAAACAGGTACTTCTGGTACAGGGAAGGAGGAGCAACAGAGGACAGCAGGTTAATACATGGCAGGAGGATCCTCTGTGACAGAGTCCACCCACCCAAGCTCAGGATCTTCTATATATAGTAAGACAAAACATACATTGAAAGCAGAGGCGTAACTAGAAACCATGGGGCCCAATGCAAAAAGTCCCTCCCCCCAACCCCTCCATGTGTCTTTCTCCCCCTTCCCTGTAACCCCTCCATTTTTCTCTCCCCTCCAGATCCTTAATTTCTGTCTCTCGCCTCCCCTGCAGCCCTTTAATTTGTCTCTCTTCCCATCAGCCCTTTAATGTGTCTCTCTCCACCCTCCCCTCCTGCCTATCCATTAGTCTTTGTCCCCCCTCCCCTCCAGTCATGGGCGTCAGCAGAAATAGGCAGGAAGGGACAGAAAGAGCACAACAGTAAAGGAGGAAAAGTGCAGAACTGGGCAGCATGGAGCAGGAAGGGTCTGCACGGAGCAGGAAGGGGCAGCAAGGAGCAGGAAGGAGCAGCAAGGAGCACAACGGTAAATGA